AAATAAGGATACAGGTGGACCTGTTGCAACAATGAGAAGTACAAGTTGTCATGTCAAAAACGAACTTTACAACTTGGGGTGGGGGAGGATGGGAAGGGATGGGAAGGGTAAACAAAGGAGGAGGCTACAATGCTTGATAAGAAATGTACTCACCATCTTGCCCATGTAATTGTAACCCCTCTGAACAGTATTTTCACAATAAAAAAATTGAAAAAAACAAAACAAAAACACATGCTTGATTACTTGGACCAATTTGCTTGGACTCTTAATTTCAAATATGTACCTCTACCATGTAAAATTCTTTTTCTTTTTTTGGTGGTAGTAGGGCTTGAACTCGACCTGAGCACTGTCCCTCAGCTCTTCAGCTCAAGGCTAGCACTCTACCTCTTGAGCCACAGCACCACTTCCAGTTTTCTGGGTGGTTTATTGGAGATTAGAGTCTCACGAACTTTTTCTGCCCAAGCTGGCTTTGAACCGAGATCCTCAGATCTCAGCCTCCTGAGAAGCTTGGATTATATGCATGAGCCATCAGCGCCCAGCATATAAAGTTCTTTAAGCGGATAACTTCAGGGAGAAATGTCCAGCAGCCAAAGAGACTTGACAGTGATTGATTGGCATAACAAATCATGAATATCTGCACCTTGTGGCCGTCTACCAAGAAGCATGGCTAGTCCTTCAGCCTGAGGAGTATAGTTGGTGATAATCAGCAGGTGCAGAGGACATGCCATATATTTGCTATGCCATTTTCCATTTTCAGGAGACAAAATCTTAGGTTTAGGGTTTTTTTATTTTATTTTTTAATTGAAAAGGTGATATGTTGGGCAGTTACAGTTACCTAGGTAAGACAATGTGTACATTGTTTTTAATCATCATTACTCCATATCTCTATATCCCACTTCCCTCTCCCTGTCCACCCCTCACAAGTTGTAATGTTCATATCCCACATATTGTCAAGTGAGTATCAATGTTGCTGTGGTTCATCCATTGTTCTGCTGTTTCTGTGATTCCTTTTCCCTTCCACATATTGCATTGTCTATTATGCAAAACTTGATGTACAGAAAGCTAAGAGAAATGAAGAAAGAAAATAGAGAAAAAAGAACAAACTATATACTGAGTCTAATGAGCCTCTTGTTTCCATGAGTTGGAGTCGACAATGTTTATTGCAGTATTATTTACCATAGCCAAGATATGGAACCAACCCAAATGCTCCTCGGTAAATGAATGGTTCAAGAAAATGTGGTATATATACACAATGGAATTCTATGCCTCCATCAGAAAGAATGACATTATTCCATTCATAAGGAAATGGAAAGACTTGGAAAAACAATTTTATTAACTGAAGTAAGCCAGATCCAAAGAAAAGCAGGTCACATGATCTCCCTCATTTGTAAGAATTAGGATATGTAGAAGATACTCTTTTTTATTAATAGGTTTTTTTAATTGTGAAAATACCGTGCAGAGGGGTTACAATTACATGAGCAAGGTGATGAGTACATTTTTTTTTTATCAAGCATTGTTGCCTCCTGCTGTGTTTCCCCTTCCCATCCCTGCCCTCATACTCTTAACAGGGGTTCTCAAGAACCCAAATGTTTAGTGGAAAGGACTATACACAGGTTTAGGTTTTAACAGTTTGAAATTGTAATTGGAGTTTATTTCTAGTAATTTGATAGTTTATCCCACCTAGTATACCAATGCAATGTGCAAAGTGATAGCCCTTACTAGAATATGTTTTTTAATAACTTAATTTAGGTGATATTTTAAATTTTTTAAATTTATTTTTTAGTAAAAAAAAAACATCAGAGTTACTATTTGAAAAGGTACTATCACATATTATCTAAGGAAATAAAATAGTATTGAAACCAAAGGATGAGTTTTTAAGGTTACTGATTGTATAATGGTGACACAAAATTAATTGATACTTCTACAAGTATATAAACCTATTTTATTTGAAGCTATTTTATTTGATCACAATTTGAAAGTTTTACTGTAATTTAACTTTGCGTGAACTGAATGTGCAAAGTATATGGTTATAAGATTATAATCTAGTAAACCTAATGACGATTAATTTAGATAGCAAAATCATTTGAAATAAATCACAGTAGTCATAAAATATTTTTAGATTATAGCTTGAAACTTGAAAGAGTATAAACCCAGTTTGTTTCAATTAATTGATGATAATCTTTGAATGTGAAGGAGTCAAATGCATTACCTTAAATACATTATTTTATTTTGAGGGGCAATACAAGTTACAAAAATGATTAGGTAGGACATAAATATTGGAGTTAGATATAGGAGGAAACACTGACCTTGTCTCCCAGCCTTAGCACCCTTACAGTGAGTGCCTACTTGCTGTTCACTGAGACTCATTAAAGAGTAATTATCATGGCTGAACTTTATTTCAGCGTAGGATTTATGCAAAAAAAAAAAAAAAACAGTAGGAACAGGGATGCCAAGAAAAACACAGGCTTTCTTGTTCAATTTATGCAGGAATTTTCTGGGCATGCCATTCAATCTGCAAGCTACATATGTGATGTCCTTGCTAAGGAAACCACATTTGAATCTTAAATTCCAAGTTTCTATGTAACTACTATATCACATACATAATCTATGATATATATGGACATATATATACATATATATGGAAACTTATTGTTGCAATCCATATTGTAGGTCATAATTTTGACTTAGTATATTTTTTGTAATGGTGAGAAGCTACATTTTAGTATTGATTAAAGCACATAAATCATGAATAAAATATTTTACTCCAGTCACAGTTGCCTTCCCATTCCTACCCCTCTCATTTTTTTCAGTTGTATTCCTTCTTTTCAATCTCTTGTTATCTTCAATTATATTCATTACCAGTCCCATTTCTAATTTTTTCTTGATCTATAAGTTCCTCCTTAAAAATATTACAACACATAAAACAATGTCAGAAAGTTAATAGCTGTGATTTTTTTTAAACTTTTTTTATTGTAAAAAATAGTGTACAGAGGGTTACAGTAACATGCGTAAGGTAATGAGTACGTTTCCTATTGAGCATTGTTACCTCCTCCTTTGTTTATCCCCTACCATCCCTTTCCTCCCCACCTCTCTAACTCCTCCCCACCCCAAGTTGTAAGTTCGTTTTTAACATAGTGTCTTGTACATCTCATTGTTACAGTGGGTCAACCTGCATCCTATTTCTAGCTGTGATTCTTATATGCTAAAATATTCCCTTAAATTGTGATCAAGTCTTGGATAAGATTGTGGGATGCTGCTTTATAATAGTGGGATGCTGCTTTATAATGGCATATTTGCATTACTGGTGTGGTCCATCTAGTGACAGTGTAATTGATGTTTGTTGCTTTATTACAGCATAGGAAATAACTTGGGAAAGAAATGAGACTTCATACAGTGTGATAGAAAACTATAACTCACAGCCAGTTTATATGTAGAAAAGTTAGTGCTTAGTGATATGATTTGTGTAGCAAAATTGCTTTAAGATCACACAAAAATTGAAAATTATGCCTTGCAAATGAAACTCATTCATGTACTTATGACAAAACTTTAAGGACAAGTAATAACATAGCCAGTGCTTTATAGTTAGTGAAAAATACATGCTGTGTTCTAGTTAAAGCAATACTATCATTTTGAAAACTGAGATTTCTGATAAAACTTGGGCATACTGTAGTCACATTTCTTAAAGTGGCTTTACAGCATCTTGAAGTTATAACTTCTTAGTGCACTGTTGATTGGACAATTTGAATGAAATATCCTTTTAGTGTCTCAGATGAATTTTCTTACAGGAAATTTATTCTTACCTGGACTAAGCCATGTTTTGTTTTGTTTTTCTTCTGCCACAGGATAAGAAATGGATTCTCAATCATGAAGATGTCACCTTGGGAGAACTACTAGGCAAGGTACATAATCAACTGAGCTAAATAATGAAGTCTTTACATTTTCTGGGGATTCTTCAGTTTTTTGTTCCTGTGAAGCTTTATAAAAAATTCACCACACAGCAAGTTTCTTTAGTACTAATCTAAAAGAAGACAATACCACATCTGTTACAAGTATTAAGATACTCACTGAAATAGATGCATGAAAATCTTATGCTTAAAGAGAATTCTTTTTAAAATAGTGTATGTTTTCTCAAAGGTTATAATAATTTTAATACCATTTAATAAAACCAAAACTATTGAGGTGTGATTTGAAAAGAACCTACCAGATTATAAAGTTAAACTAAATCCCAGTAGTCTTTAAACAAACAAAACAAAACTGGTTATGTAATACTCCAGAAAAAGTAAAGTACTACTCTTCAGAGTTTCAAGATTGTTTATAAGACCATTGTGCATATTACTTCAGTGGAAAAATAATTTTGAAAGGACAGGTTTCAACATGACAATCTGTTTTGTAATTGTAACTAGCTATACTAGTGATCAGAGAGGGCAGATTCGTGTAAGTGCCTTTCCTTCCAACCTAGTTGAAGGTGTTTCTAATTCATAAGCCATATTCTAGCATAATGTGTACCAATAAAGTTAGATATTTGATAGTTAAACTGTTTAAGTGTATAATTTTATTTGTAATTGAATTTTAGTGGATAAATATTTGTCAAATGACTTAGGAATACTTGTCTATGAAGCTTTAGTTTCATGGTATACTGTTAAAATTTGTGATAAATTCAGATACTTTGTGAAAAGTATACATAATTTATGGATGCTAACCCCTACACTAAGGCTCAGCACTTCAAATAACATGATGTGATTATCCATTACTTTTCACTTGAATATATATGTGGTAAATTGACTATGTTCCTTGTTTTACAAAAAGCTCTGTTTAAATAGTAGATCCTTGAAGTACTCTAGTTTGCTAATTTTTGTCATCTATTATTTTAAAATATATTTTCCAAGTAGAAGCGTTGAGTTGCTATTTGAAAGCAGATCCAGTGCTAATGTACTTAGTTTCTCAGGATAAAGAACTGAAAGTAGCAGCTGGTATGTTTGCTGCTTCTGTGCTATGCTCCTCTAATTCTTGAGGAAATATGTCCACTGTCTGTTATTGGTGACCCAGTAGATGTGACTGAATCAAAAATTATTACAAAGAAGCATTCACCTGTAATCCCAGAAATTCAGGAGGCAAACCAGGTGGATGTCTAGAGGCCAGCCAGGAAAAAAATTAGGAGAGTCTATCTTAAAACTGAAAGGATTGGAGGCAGGGCTCAAGTGTTAGAACATTTACATTGAATATAAAACCCCTAGATACAATCCCTAGCACAGAAGAGAAAAAAGAAACACAAAACAGAAGGAAAAAGTAACTCAAATAAACTTTCATAAAAATACGAATAAATAATTTGGAAGTGGCGCTGTGGCTCAAGTGGTAGAGCGCTAGCTTTCAGCTGAAGAGCTGAGGGACAGTGCCCAGGCCCAGAGTTCAAGACCCATGACGGACCAAAAAAAAAATTACAAATAAATATTTAATCATCAAAGACACATTATTTCAGTACTCTGGGAAAATATTTTTAATTAAAGAAAAAGATTTTGTAATTAATTTCATAATTTTTTAGTTTCTTCTAAAGTATAACTTATCAGAAACAATGTTCTCCTTAGTAAGGATATCTCAAAGAATAAATCCTTTCACACTGACTAGGCAGTAGTATGTCAGTCTTGATAAATTTAATGATTTTAAGAAAATACTGAAATGGAGCTTAAGTTCATGTAATACTTTTAATACTGGAGCATGATTTTGATTTAATATTTTCACCACCTTTTCTGTTGTCATTGTTTTTTTTTTCAGGTAAGGGGTAGGTTTATTTAGTAGACCTGCTGGGACCAGGCAAGGTTGGCACTCCACGCAGCTGGGAAAGGCCTGGGAAAGAGAGAGAGCTGGGAAAGAGAGAGAAAAGAGCTAGAAAAGAGCAGAGAGAGAGCTGGGAAAGAGAAGAGAAGGAAAGAGCTAGAAAAGAGCAGAGAGAGCTCATTGTGTTTTTTGTTTGTTTTGCCAGTTCTGGGCTTGGACTCAGGGCCTAAGCACTGTCCTTGAACTTCTTTTGCTCAAGGCTAGCACTGTACCACTTGAGCCACAGTATGACTTCCAGCTTTTTCTGTTTATGTGGTACTAAGGAATCAATCCCAGGGTTTCATGCATGCTAGATTTAGCATTCCTATAGGGTCAAAACAGTAGGTTGGCTACTAAATGAAGTAAGAAATATAGACAGAAGATGAGATGATTAAAACAGATTGTATCCAAAAAATGAACTATTGATAATAACAAAGTTTAAGGTATGACTTTAGCAAATAGATTCATTATAAGAGCAGTAGAGGAGATAGGCTTATGAAACTGAAGTTTTACAATGTGATAGGACCTATGTCTATTGAAATTAACAAGAATTAACACAGGGGCATACTGTATAGAGTATATAGTGACATACAAATTATCAGTGAAGGATGGAAAGTAGTTTCATATTCAATAGGTGGCAGCCACAGTGATTGATAGTAAGAGATAGATATTATTGAATGGAAATGGTTCAAGCTAAGAGGTTTTAGGAATGCAGGAGAGAGGATTGTGGCCGTAGGAAAAAACAACAACAAAAAACAAAACCACAACAAAAAACAAAACCAACTATTTCACCTCCACGGGAGTGGTAGGATTAAATGAGGAGCAAAATTCATCACTCAAGTTTAGAGGACAAAGGACAACTTATTATCATTTGAGTGCCTCCAACAGGAATCAGGATCCTGTGGGATCAGAATGGCCTTATGGGGAATCATCAAACTTCAGGGTACCAATTTGATGGAATGTGAATTCTGGAAGGCACAGTGGAAGTTTGAAAGAGAAAGGAGATTTGAGGAGAACTGGATGAGCACTTAGAGGAGGGGAGATAAAGATTAACCCTAAGGACCAAGATCTTATGACAAGCAGCTTGATGAGATTTGCCCTCAAGGACTTAATGAAGTCATACTTTTTGAATGTTGGGAATGTTGAGTATCCTAGGCTGTATCATAACCAATTTGGCCTGAAAGTAGATCGTCTGGGAAAGCATAATCTTTTATCAGATTGGAGATTAGCTCCTTGAACACCATTGATAGAATTGAAGTTCTCTGGGTAATGGCTGTCAAATAAATGTTTAAAGTTTTCAAACACCCCACAAAGGCCAATGCTTGTTATATAAGGCTGAAACCTTTAGAAAGAGGTGAATGAACAACAGAGTGAGGAGCGTTCTGAAGAGGGAGAATAGTCTTCAGAAGAAAGTCCTAATGAAGGAGGAAGCATAATAAATGAAACTAAAGATTAGATCACCTTTTCTCTGAGGGCAGGTGAATGTTTTCCATAAAGGAAAAAAGTGTAGAAAATGATGACACATATTTTGTGATTACCAAATAAAAGCTAAGAAATGACAATAATGAGAGGATGGATATTGAGGAAAGCAATAGTCTAATCAAAGTTTTCTCTAGCAAAGATCATTCTGTCTGGCACTGCTGCTGTTGATGGATCTGAGTATTGACCAAGTAAAGGTGAAAAAAGTTGAGACAGGTACTGTCTCTGAGGGTACTGTTTCGGAGATGCAATAGGGAAAGACTGAAGTATTGAGGGGAGCTAAATACTTACATGGAAAATGGTAGGATCTTTTTCCTTTCAATAGTATTGCTATAGGCTAGGCTTGTCTTTAACTTAAAATCCTTTTGCCTCAGCTACCTGAGTGCTGGTATTTTAGGCATGTTCCACTATACTTGGTCCAGAATGATAGTTATAATAACTGAGAAAATAATGTATTCAAGAAGAATTTTTTGATGAGTAAAATGAGTTTTAGAAAAAATGAATTATAAGTGTTTAAGAATCACTCGGATAAGAGGTTAGGCAACAATTCTGTAGAACAATAATATTTACTCTCAGATAAATTTTATGAATTATTGATAATTAAGTAAATTATTTGATAATTGTTGGATAAATCTTGAGAAAAGAGATACTCAAATTTTCTTTGTTGTAGTTGATTATAAGCATTTAATATGTTGAGAATTCAAACCATAGCTTTTATTTAAAAACAATTTAAGAACTGAATATTAGATGAAAAAGTATACATGAATATGGGACTTTTTTAGAAAAACATTTTAAAAATAAAACATTTAAAATATGTAGATTTGAGAGGATGAGTTATATTGTCTTAAAATTCTAAAACTCAACAACCAACAGATTTACTTCACTTACATCTTGCTCAACAGTATTGTAATATTTACATATTGTGACGATGGCTATATAAAATTCATGAATATGCATAGAAATATCTAAAAGAATTTTCAAAAATAGTTGTGCTCGTGTATTAGCTTTAAGATCATTATTGTACTGTTTTGTATTTTAAAAGAGTAAATTTACTTCAGAATTTATTAGTCTGAACATTCTAAATGTTACATTGAAATAGATGTAGGCCTATCAGTCAGTTCATCCTTGGTGACACTAACACTTGAGTTAGCACCCCTCCTCCTGGACCCGGTGGGGAGATGGACAGGCTACGGCAGCAGCTACTGATGAGCCCTTCTGTTCCTCGACTCCACTGCCTGCCTTCACTTATTGTTCACAAACTGCTCTGACATGGATGTCAGTTTTAGTTTCTTCTTGGAACTTCATTAACTTATAAATTTTAAACCAAATAAAATGTAATATTTAGGGGATAAACTAGTTGGAAGGAGTCACATGCCTCTGAGAACATCCATTTGAGTCTCTCCTTTATTCTTTCTCACCATTTTCTTTTCAGTTTTCCTTTGTCCTCAGTCTTCTATATGGTTAATGTGGGAACAGTATATTCAAGGTTGAAGAGTTTGTAAGAACAGAATCAACTGTCTTTATTTTCATGCAAAGCTAACTTATCAACTCAAAATGTTTTGTTACCTGTTTTCCTTGTTTTTGACACACTGACATGCTATAATTACCAGACCAAACATTGCATGTGTTTTTGTTTTCAGGGAAATTTTGGTGAAGTGTATAGGGGTACGTTAAAGGATAAAACTTCTGTTGCTGTTAAAACATGTAAAGAAGATCTTCCTCAGGAACTGAAAATAAAATTTTTACAAGAAGCCAAGTGAGTTTTCTAATATAGTACAAAATATGCCCTTAATAATTAATTATAATGTTTGTTATTCATGAGGCATTCATAACTTATTAAAAAGTAATCTTGAACACATTTTGAATTGTGACTTGTTGAAGGAGTAAGTAAACACTATTAGGAACTCATAAATAAACACTTTCACAATGTGAGAAAATTTCTGGTTTTGAGGTAGACTGTAAATCAATTAGAAAATCACGGTAAGAACAGGTGTTAAAAAACATGACTGTTTTCTAAATCCTTAAATACATTTGTTTTATTAAGTATGCATATACATTTTGTAATCTTGTGATTTTTCTTCACAATCATACATATAAAAGATTTTTATCCTTGTTCTTTTAGGTAGATGTTTATATTCCTTAGATAATATCTTTTGACTTTCTGTTTCTGCTTATTAGCTCTGAAAATCATACATTTCTTTAGCTAACAGTCCAGAATTTGTTCAAAAATTTACATACTATTTCTTTTCTAATTCACTTTGTAAGTGGATTCCTTTATTTTAGTAAAATTTAATGATCCACCTTGCTATACTGAATTGAAAATACTTAAATAGGGCGATGATTTGAATAAATTAATTGGATGGACATGTTGAAAATGGATGCAATGATGGGTGGTGGGTGGATGCTTGAACAAGGATGATACACAAATCTATAAATTTTGTGCATGGGAACATAGAGGAAATGGCTGAGAGACAATAATAAATCCCATGACATGGATTATTTTGTGTAAATTTCTATACTCATTTAACACTAAATATTGTAGGAATGGATCAAATTAATTGGATGCAGTATTAAGTACCTGTAGAATTAAGAATCTGTACAATTATACAATTTTTAAAATATATACTATTGAAAATCAGAAAACTGACAAATTAAAAACTGTTCTATATTCTTGAAATTTATAGTCTCATTATTTTACAATTCATAGGTGTTCTCATGATAAAAGGCTGTGTCTAATATTATTTTCAAAAGTATTTAAATTTCTTAATTTGTAACTTTTGCAAAGTGGACTTCAATTTCTTTTAAAGTGAAATTATGGAGTTTTATGTAAAATGTAAAATTTTCTTTTCCATGCAACCCTCTTCAATAGACTTATCTATGTTCCTGGCTGCCTATTTTGTGCAGTTTCTTTACTCACCTTCATAACTAAAAATATAACATTCTTCAAACTTTATTGTCTCAGAAATTTCAAGCTTCAAGGCATTCTAGAATATTTCCTTTAATCTCTAGGATTTTTCCCTGTCTGACTACATTTACAAATCATTATTTTAACATTTTTTTTGCTCTTCCTCTGACTTAGTTGAACAATTACAAAACACACATAATTTGTTAAATTTTACTTTTTTTATTTTAATTTTTGTACTAATGAGTTGTCAGCATAATGTATCTTGGGCCAGAGTTATTTTTGCATTCTTCTTCAGAAAGACTATTGTAATTTTTACATAGAAGTGAGTTTATATAGAATAAGAAGAACTAAAACTTAAAATCAAGGCAAATGGGTATCTAATATATTTTAGCTCATACTTTTATTAGAGTCCTGTGTATAGTTTATTGATATAACCTGTGATGAAATTTCACCTTCACCCAAATGAAGTTTGTACTCCTTCAACTGAAGCTTATACTGAAACTGATATAAAATTTTTAAATCTTTTGCCATGTTTCTCAAAAGTTTTGTATTTCTATCATTTAAATTGAAAATAATCTCAAGAAATAATTTACTATGATATCTAGTGAAGGTAGTCTTTGTAGTATTTACCAGGGAGTGATAATTTTTGGAGAACATAAAATACTTGGAAGTTCTATTTTTTTTGTTCTTATTTATGATGATTATTCAGAGTGAGTAACAACTTTTAAATGGGTGCTTAATTGAATTAATAATTGACTCATATCCAGATAGGAATCATGTCTGCAATCCTCATGTCTGCAATTCTCACTACTCAAGAGGTTGAGACCTTGAGGATTGTATTCAAAGCTAGGCAGAAAAGTTTAAAAGACTACATCTCCAATTAGCAAAATGTTGGCCAGGGCTTATGGCTCAAGTTGTAGAATAACAGATGTGGGCAATAAACTGAACAAGAGTAGGACACAAAATTCAAGTGCAGAAATGTAAAAAATAATTTTCTCATTTAGGTTATATTATCAGTATTTATCAATACTAGTTTATATACATCCTATTTGTCATCATTTTGGGTCACACTTATATTTTAATAATTAGGATTAATGAGTATTCTACTTGTCCAGACCTTTATCAGCTAATGCATGATTTTCTTTATTCAAATGCTTGTTCTTATAATTTCTCTCTAGAATTCTCAAGCAATATGATCATCCCAATATTGTGAAACTTATAGGAGTTTGCACACAAAGACAGCCTGTCTACATCATCATGGAACTTGTCCCAGGTAATGTGATTTGAAGGTTTGCTTGATGACATTTTAATGTCATGTTTTATTGCATTGTTTGTGTTCAGTCTCTTTGATTTCTCCTTGTAATGTTTCCAAGGATTTTATATAACATTTTTCTGATAACAAAAGAACTTGTATATTTATACAACATTTTTATAGGTTATAATACTGTGCTGTTTTTTAGAAAATGTCAGCCAACATATTTTGGGCATGGATTTATTAGAGTTTGGTATGGAATTGAGGTTTTTTTTTTTTTTTCTTTTTGGGTCCAGTCGTGGGGCCTGAACTCTGGGCCTGGGCGCTGTTTCTCAGCTCTTCAGCTCAAGGCTAGCGCTCTACCACTTGAGCCACAGCCCCACTTCTGGCATTTTTCTTTTTCCTTATGTGGTACTGAGGAATAGAACCCAGGGCCTCAGGCATGCAAGGCAAGTGCTCTACCACTGAATCACCTTCCCAGCCCTGGAATTGAGTTTTATATAATGTTTTTGTATGAAAAGCTGTTGAGAAAGGCAGTTACTTAGTGTGGCATTATTAATTAAATTGCTGTCTTATTTACTCCCTATATATCAGTTTCCAAGTACATTTCCACTTACCTTCTTTGTGACACTTACGATAATCTCATGGTACTTTGGGTCACTTGTGACATATGAGCTTCTATATGTAGACACATGACAGGATGGTCATGTAGAAATTTCTCTTTTATGATTTCTGGTTAACTTGGAACAACAAAAAGACAACCCTACTAGTATGTGTTTTTTGTTCTCATTGTCTATCTTATGGTTGTAGAAATTTCAAAGATAAAATTTATTTCAATCACATTTACAATTCTGATATTTATTAACTAAAAATTGCTTTAACTTTTTGGGTTTTACTTTTAATAACTACTCATTTTAAAAGAAGAAATTTAAAGGAATATGAAAAATATTCATAATTTTGCAATTAATGAACTATGAGCCTAATATAGATTGTTTATTAAACACTGCTCATATGAAATTTCTTTAGTGTTTAGGATTCTTAGTCCTGTACATCATCTTACTTACTACTTCAGTTTTTTCAGTATTTCCGTATAACTGTAGAACTAATAGGTTATCTTCATCCTTATCTTAATGACATTATCTGTGTTGGGTACTTTATATGTTGGCTGTGTCAGCCCTGTTTATTTCTGTATTTTAAGGTAGCTTTCAGTATTGTGAAATGGGAAAGATACAATTCAAAATTTTAAGAATTGAATAGAATATAGTTGACACTATTGACACACATGCAAACGAATCCCTTGGTTAGTAAGGAATTGCATGGAGAAGACCCCTCTTGGAAGAGGGGGCAGACTAAATGGGGATTATGAGTGGCAAGCCAGGGAATATGGATGCAAATTTCAGATGTTATGTCTAAGTTGAATTAGACAGTGGAAGTTTTATACAAAAACGATATCCTGATAGGTAACTTCTGTTGATATTTTGAAAATGTAATGACAGGTAGAAAATTAAATGAATGTTCAACAATCTAATTATGGCTAGGCACTAATGATCCTAGCTCACACCTGTAATCCTAGCTACTCAGGAGGTAGAGATCTGAGGACCATAGTTCGGAGCCAGCCTGGTCAGAAAAGTCTCAGGGAGACTCTTATCTGCAGCAAACTGCTCAGAAAAAGCCAAAAGTGGTGCTGTGGCTGAAGTGGTAGAGCACTAACCTTGAGCACAAAGAGGTTCAGGGACAACACCCAGGCCCTGAGTGCAAGCTCCAGGACTGGCATTAAAAAAAAATCAAATTATAGCCCTAAGCTGATTTCTACTAGCAGTGTCTTAGTGTGTGTTTATTTTGCTTTTCCAGGAAGATATTTACTGTAGATCCTTTGGATTTTCTTCTTTTTAAATTTAATCATAAGAATCATGGTGTAACACTGCTTCAGGACTCTCCATTATTTAAAAAAATTAATCCAAAGGTGGTATACAGAGGGGTTACAATTTCATAAGTCAGGTAAAGAGTGCATTTCTTTTTGAACAGCATCACTCTCTCCCTCATTTTCTCCTATTTTTTTCTCTCCCGACCCCTGTCCCCTTTCAAGTTGCATAGTTCATTTCCAATATAGTGTCTAGTGAGTATCACTGTTGAATTAAGTTCTCCCTTTGTCTCACCGCTTCTGTGCTTCCCCTTACTGTCCCCAAATCAGATAAACTTACATAACAAAAGGTACAGAAATTAAAAACAGTGACAAAAGGGGAAAACAGAAAAAAAACACATAAAAATCCTCTTATTTCCATTTGTTGGAGTTCATTTCCATAAGCATCTTTTTATATGATCATATGCACATGGGGTTCATGGTTTCCCTCATTTGTAGTAATTAGAATGTGCCCATAAACTACAAGTAAACACAATGGATAGTAAAAGATGAAAAATTACACTTGGACATGATAAACAGGACATTCACACAGTAAGACCAAAGGAAGATATTCTTTGCAGAGGATCACCACTTGGTTGTTTTTTTGTTTTTGTTTTTTTTTTTGGTCACTCATGGGGCCTAAACTCTGGGCCTTGACACTGCCCCTCAGCTCTTCAGCTAGGGCTCTTATCACTTGAGCCACAGCGCCACTTCTGGCTTTTTCGGCTTATGTGGTGCTGAGGAATACGAACCCAGGGCCTCATGCATGCAAGGCAAACACTCTACCACTGAGCCACCTTCCCAGCCCCTACCACTTCTTTTTAAAGGAAACTTGTGTTGGGTTTATTGTTTCATAGTCATCTATATATTTCTACCTCTCCTTTATAATAACTATAGAGTATTTGATTTTGTGAATTTACATAATTTATCCAACCAGTAATTTCCTTTTTTAAAATCTTTTGAGAAGAGCTCTCAGTAACTTTGAACTCTTAGTAAAAGTCATTTAAAAGTAGGACAAAAACTCAGCGGTAGGATTGTTGGATCAAAGTTGACATACATTTTGATTTATAGTAAATGTTTTAGCTTTCCATTGCTGTGTAACAAATTGTCACAGTTGGGAGCTCTAATCCACTACCAGGCTTATTCAGATGTTGGCAGAATCCATTTGCCTGCAGCTATTATTTTGAGTTTACTATTTCTATCTACTGACAATCAGATGTGGGTGTCTTTCATCTTTATTCCTTTTCTCCTTGTCTGTGCATCTTTAATGCTAGTACTAGCCTGTCAAAATCTTCAAGTGTTTTGAATTTCTCTGGCTTAAAATTTTCTATTACAAGTTAAAGAATCATGGCTACTATTTTAAAAAGGGCTCCTATGACTGGATCAGGTCCTGATAATCTCCCTATTTTAGATTGGGTTTACTTTGGGACAAAGCATTTTTATGAGAAAGGTATGTTCATCACATCCGCAGAGTACAGGGGTTAGTGTTTGGGAGGCCTCTTGATCTGTCTTCTAGAGTAAAATTTTCCAAATTTCCTTAAAAGATTTGTAAAACCTGAAACCATGATGAATTTTTCACTCTGTTCTATTAAATGACCATTCGTTCATCTTGAAATATCATTGCTTGTTTCTACTCAGGCATGATTTTTTGTTTATTTTTTATTATTGTGAAAATAGCATAGAGAGGGGTTACATTTACATGGGCAAGATATTGAGTACATTTCTTATCAAGCATTTTTGCCTCCTCCTTTGTTTCCCCATACCATCCCTTCCCCTCTCCACCCTCCCACGCCCACACCACCACGATTATCCCCCCACGCCCCACCCCGCCAAAGTTGTAAAGTTCCTTTTTCCACATAACATCTTGTACATCTTTTTGTTGTAATGGGTCCACCTGAAACCCTATTTAAACAGTTTGTTTTTTCCCTTCCCCTCCACAAATTATACCAACATCAAATACAGTGAAAGCAGGGCTTATACCCTGGGGGAGGGACATACAAAGCAACAAAGAAATCATCTTATAAATATGTTAGAAACAATTGCAAGAAAAAATAAACACTTGAATCTTTATTTTGGGGTTCATTTCGCCTAATATCAACTTGTCTGACAGTTTCTGTTTGTCTCCGACATACACTAGTTATTGCAAATAAGGGAAACCATGGGACCTATGTTTCTTTGGGCCTGGCTTACTTCACTTAATATAATTTTTTCCCAGTCTTTCCATTTCCTAACAAATGGGGCAATGCCATTCTTTCTGATGGAGGCATAGAATTCCATTGTGTATATATACCACATTTTCTTTTTCTCTTTTGTGAAAATACCGTACAGAGTGGTTGCAATTACATGGGCAAGATAATGAGTACATTTTTTTTCTTTTCTCTTTTTTTATTGTGAAAATACTGTACAGAGGGGTTACAATTATATGGGCAAGATAATGAGTACATTTCTTATCTAGCATTATAGCCTCCTCCTTTGTTTCCCCTTCCCATCCCTTCCCATCTTCTCCCTGCCCCCCACCCATCCTCCCCGACATCAAACACAGTGAAAGCAGGGGTTATACTGTGGGGGAGGGACATACAAAGCAACAAAGAAATAATCTTAAAAATGTGTTAGAAACAATCACATGAAAGAAAAGAAAACATTTAAATACATACATAGCTTAGGGTTCATTTCCCTAACATCACCTTATCTGACCTTTTCTGCTTGACTCATACATATACTTGATATTGCAAATAAGGGAAACCATGGGACCTATGTTTCTTTGGGCCTGGCTTACTTCACTTAATATAATTTTTTCTCAGCCTTTCCATTTCCTAACAAATGGGGCAATGTCATTCTTTCTGATGGTGGCATAGAATTCCATTGTGTATATATACCACATTTTCTTGATCCATTCATCTACTGAGGGGCATCTGGGTTGGTTCCATATCTTAGCTATGGTAAATAATGCTGCAATAAACATAGTTGTGCTGGTAGCTTTAGTATGGCCTTGTTTGTGATCATTTGGGTAAATGCCCAAAAGTGGGATTGCTAGGTCATAGGGGAGCTCTATGTGGATCAGGCATGATTTTGTAGCATAATTTTTTAGTTATTTGGAAAATAATCTCCTCATTCAACTTTT